ATCGCTATAGATAGTGAAACTCCGAGAAGGATCTGGGATAGTCAACACCGATGCTGTAGTCAATCTCCTCTTGAGCTCCTGAAAGCTAGTCTCACATCTGTCAGTCCATTCGAACTTCATAGTCTTCCTCGTCAGCTGGGAAAGTGGGAGGGCGATCTTAGAGAAGCCCTCGATAAACCTGCGATAATAATCAGCTAATCCGAGAAAACTGCGAACCTCGGACGGATTCCTCGGTGTCGACCAGTTCTGCACGGATGAAACTTTAGAAGGATCCACCTCGATGCCTGCCTGGGTAATAACATGACCCAGAAAAGATACTCGCTGAAGCCAGAACTCGCACTTGGAGAATTTGGCGTACAACTTCTCTCGTCTGAGGGTTTCGAGAACCACCCTCAGATGCTCCTCATGCTCCTTCTGACTCTTCGAGTAGATAAGGATATCGTCAATAAAGACAATAACAAACTGATCGAGGTATGGATGAAAGATACGGTTCATGAGATCCATGAACAATGCTGGCGCATTGCTGAGACCGAAAGGCATGACTACAAACTCGTAATGGCCGTAACGAGTCCTGAAAGCGGTCTTAGCGATGTCTGACTCCTTAATCTTCAGCTGGTGGTAGCCTGATCGCAAGTCGATCTTCGAGAATACACAGGCTCCCCTCAACTGGTCGAATAAGTCGTCGATCCTGGGAAGCGGGTACTTATTCTTGATCGTCAACCGGTTGAGATCCCGGTAGTCGATACACGTTCGCATAGATCCGTCCTTCTTCTTAACAAAGAGAATGGGTGCTCCCCACGGTGACACGCTCGGTCGGATGAAACTGAGTCGTAATAGCTCCTGAATCTGAGTCTTAAGCTCCTGTAACTCTTTAGGCGCCATGCGATATGGGGCTTTGGACACTGGACCGGCCCCTGGAATAAGATCAATGGAAAACTCCACCTGACGGTTGGGCGGTCCTCCTGGAATCTCATCTGGGAAGACGTCAACAAACTCGCGAACGATAGAAACATCATGAGGTGTCCGCGCTTTCTGAGAATTCTCAACAAGGCTTACCAGGTAACCCTGACAGTTGCCTCGTCGCAATAACTTAGTGGCTTTCGCCATCGATATAACATGAGGCAGTGAACGGTTCTTGGAGCCGAAGAAAGTAATCGACTCGTCTCCCGGAAGATAGAGAGTAATCTCCCGGTCATGACATCTGATGTCAGCATGATAGAAAGAAAGCCAATCCATCCCGAGAATAAGATCGAAATCCCTCATCTCGAGAACGAAAGCGTCGGCAGTCAATACTCGGCCACCGATGGATAGGCTAAGATCTGAGGCTTTGGCTGAAGTCACTATCTTTCGTCTCGAGGCTAAACTCACCTCGAGAGGATCGACAACAGTAACTGCATGAACTCCGATGGCGTCGAGACACCGTCGTGAAATAAAGGTGTGCGTTGCTCCGATATCGAATAATGCAAACACAGGAATATCATTAAGAACGATCATCCCGGACATAGTACCTGGTTGCTGAGCTGCCTCCGCCTGATCGACCGCGTAGACCCTGGCCTGCTGCCTGCCCCTCTGCTTCTGCTGCTGCTGAGGCGGCCTCTGCGCCTGTTGTCGTGGCTGCTGCTGCTGTGGTGGCTGCTGAGGCTGCTGCTGAAGCTTCTTCGGGCAACGACTCGCGAAATGTCCCGGCTCCTGAAAAAAGTAACAGATATCCTGTCCAGCACGACACTCTCCCCTATGAAGTCGACCACAAGTCGGGCATGGTGGAATCTGTCTCTGTCGGGTCCTCCGGTCAGTCTGTGCACCCTTTGCCTTCCTCTTCTTCTCCTTGGCTGGCTGAGGAGTTGGTAGAGCTGGTGGAGCTGCAAATGGCTGAGCTGGGGCAGATGGCTGAGCACGATCACGAACGGCCTCCCTCCTGATGCTAGCGTCAACCTCCTGGGCAATAGAGACTGCTCGTGCATACGTCTGTGTCCCATGTCCCACAATGTTATGACGGACTGCTGGGTAAAGTCCGTCAATGAACCGCTGAGCTCTCTGGGCCTCTGTGCGAACAAGATCCGGTGCGAAACCTGCAAGTCTGGTGAACTCACGCTCGTACTCATCGACAGTACGAGTGCCCTGCTGAAGCGCTAAGAACTGGCGCTCCATCTCTGCCCGATAGTAAGAAGGGTAGTACTTGTCACGGACTAGATCCTTGAATATGTCCCATGTACAACCCGCCTTTTCACCGGGACGCATGCTCCAGTAGGCGTTCCACCAGAGCCTCGCATCGCCAGTGAGCTGAAGCTGAGCGCAAACTACGCGATATCTATCGGGGCATTCCATAACCTCAAAGATAAACTCCAACCCCTGAATCCATTCATCAACGATACGGGGGTCGCCCTGACCTGAGAACTTCTCTGCGTGATAGTCGCGGAACTGAGCGACTACCGTAGCCTGGGTAGGGCCCTGATGATCGGGCTCTCTACGTGGCGGCATCTGAACATTAAGAAAGATTAACATTACTGAATATGCGACAACATTACTGACTGATTACTAAAGTACACAGATCTCTTGACGAGTTGCCAAAATTGGCCGATAATTACTGAAGTGAAACCTGAAGAACTCTAGAGTCATCTCGGAAAAATCCTAACGTCTAGAGTCATATCTGAATGCCTGAATACTAGAGTCATGTCCAACCTCTAGAGTCTGAATCTGATTCGAGCATCTTAACTAAAGTCCTGATCCTCAATTCTGAGCATAGACAAAGTAATATGTTTATAACTAAAAACTGAATTGCAACAGCACTTACCTGTCGTCGGCGGGGCGTGAGCATGACGGTTCGGGTTTTTCTGAAAAATTCTAACTGAAAACTTATCAGAGACGCAGAAACCTTGCTCTGATACCAATTGTAACACCCCACCTTACTGTAAAATCAGAGTTGCGCAATAATTCGCAAAGTCTTTGAAAAATAAAACATTTTTACTTTGCGAAACTGATTTGGGGTGCTACCGTGAAAAATCGTTACTTAACTTAAAAAATACCGTTATTTTAATTTAATAAA